TCTCCTCGCTGAGACATATTCAGACGTTTTGCTTCACAAATAAGAAGATAATTTTATATTAGTTTCTGGAGAATAGGTCACAGCTGTATCAACTTTCTGGCTATACACCTGAAAAAGTGTGACTCCTTGTTGTTCTTTGGTAATATCAAGAGATTTCAATTTGTCTTTATTATTTGGAATGTAGATTGGTTCATTCTCATTACTCTAAATAATAACCCTGTTTCTTGAACAGAATTGTTAATATCAAAATATTCCTTATCAGGCTTCTCAAATAAATTCACTGCTTCTTTTAGATTCTTTGGCCATTCAGTAAAAGAGGGACGATGATATAGCTTTTTACGTTCATAAAAGCATTGCATTGGATGTTCTGATCTAATAATTAAATTTGTATAAAACTTATGCTTCATATTTAGTAATAATTTAAAAATTTTAATTACCCATGTAAATGAAATTTGCCAAATAAGAACTTGTTCAGAACAATCTCCAAAGGGATAAATATATAATTTAGAACTAAATCAGATTCATACATATTATGAAATGGATTAATCCACAGTCTTATCCTAAAAAAATTAACCAAGTTTTTATTAATATTATCATAAAAGTGTTAAAAAAACATTGAATACTTGCCAACGTATAAGAATAGATTCAGCCCAACTTTTTTGTTGATTGATGAGAGATTTAATCTCAATGGAAGGTGGTTTTTTACTAAGATTATAATCATTGTATACTTGATATACAGTATTTATAATATCATCTATTTGATTCAGATCTAGTTGAAAGTACTTGGTTTTCAATCGATCTAGTAATAATTTTGTATATATTTTATTCTAAACAGATTCTGCTTTTCCAAAATCAACAATATAACACCTGAACGGATCTAATAAAGAATATCTAAGAATTTGTTCACGATATTTAGAAAGTTCATTTAGCTTATTAATAAACCACTTGGGATTGCCATTCTAATTTTTAGCAAAATATATATTAGTTGAATTAAATGATTTGATAAAATGATTAATTAATATTTAGTTAACTTTAGCTCTAAATAGTATTCAAGTGTCTCGATTTTTTGTTTTTGCTGAATTTCATTTTTGATTTCCTTAATTTGTTCTACTCCAATATTATAGATAAATTTCAAAATGTTATTTATTTCATTGATATCTCTGAACTTTTCAAAATCTTCTATATAATAGTTATCTTATTAACATTGCTCTCTGGCACTATAAATAAACTTAGGTTTATAAAGATTTTTTTTTTAATTGAATCTTTTTAATATTAAATAGAATAAATGATCTTACAATTTTCATCTTTTTCATTCAAATATACAATATTTGTCCAAAAATTCATTACTATGTAACTTGTAAAAGTATTCTATAAAAAATAAAAGCATTAGTATTGTAATTAAAATTACATTTAAAATCATAAGAACCAAAACTATATACTGGTGAACAAATATTCGTCTAATCACTCGAAATTATATAATGATCAAAGTAGGAACTAGTCAAAAATTACTAAGGTTATCTTTGTAATCAGATAATCATTGATGCGAAACTAATTTAGTAGTCTTCTGATCCCTTAAAGACTTTAAAATATCCAAATTGCAATAAAACAGGAACCAGTCAAAAATTGCTAAAGTAATAACTTTGTAACCAGATAATTTTTGATGCAAACTAATTTAGTATTTTTTGGCCTATAAAAATATATTAAGGTTTTAACAAGAAACTAATTTAGTAGTCTCTTGTTTTTGATAGTAGAACACTTGCATAACTTTGATTTTTCATTACTGCTTACTGGCATATTTTTTTTAATTAATTCAAGTTTATCCTTTGGAAATTTTTTATTTTTTCACTTAGTTAGTTCTATCAGAAA